GCCAGAGGTGGAAGTCAAAGAATGAGTGGCTAATTTTCATTTAGCACAAGAACATGCTAGCATTAGGCACGACGGAGAATAAATGTCACAAATTCCCACATTTTGACGTTTATTTGCTGCATTAAAGCTGCTGAACCAATGAAGAGACTGAGCTCAACTCCTGCAGAGCTGAAAGAAAAAGCTGATGAAGCTCCATCTTTCTTTAGAAGCTCTTACTGCTGCAAGCTAACAAGCTAACGGGAGCTAGCATTCTCCTTCTTCCCTACACCGGGGGCTATAAGTAGAGCTCCCCCTACAGGTTTAGTGGCAGACAGTTCAGTAGATATTAGCAGCTTATAGCCCAATGCTGCTTATAGATGTACGTTTCCAGTTTTTTCAAATAATTAATAAATTATCTCTTTACCGTTTATGATGGTTTTTGTAAAGTCTCACCAATTAATGATTAAACAAAAAGATCAACCAGACCTCAAACAAGATGAATGAGATGCAGAGACCTTAAAGGAGCCCACAGAAACGTAGCAACAAGACGTATAGCAGCTGAACAAAGATAGGTCACTCGTACATCTATAGAGCTGCATCTAGATAGAAAAAACAGAATCTTAATCGGTTAACCTACAAGTTGCAAAGACACAGATGGACTGAAACCACTAGAAGTAGCAAGAAAGAAAATAGTCAGACAAGTTTGTAACTTATTGATCTCTTCTTCTCTGCAAATAGGTCTAATTTATAAACACTTAATGAAACAGCTAGTGGTGTTTATAAATGCTGTTTATGGTTAAAACTGGCTGTTCTGATCTGATGCTGCAGAAGTGATCGACGGCGCCGTTAACAATAGTCCACAAGTTTTACGCAAGCTGTTTTAGTCTGGATTTATAAACACCAGTAGAAACAACTGGTGGTGTTTATAAAGGCTGTTTACAGTACAGACTGGCTTTTCTAATATCTGATGTTATAAACAGCTGCAAACGGATTACACAAACCGTTTCAGTCTAGATTTATAAACTCTGTTAGAAACTACTGGTGGTGTTTATAAAGGCTGTTTACAGTACAGACTGGCTTTTCTAATATCTGATGTTATAAACAGCTGCAAACAGATTACACAAACCGTTTCAGTCTAGATTTATAAACTCTGTTAGAAACAACTGGTGGTGTTTATAAAGGCTGTTTACAGTACAGACTGGCTTTTCTAATATCTGATGTTATAAACAGCTGCAAACAGATTACACAAACCGTTTCAGTCTGGATTTATAAACTCTGTTAGAAACAACTGGTGGTGTTTATAAAGGCTGTTTACAGTACAGACTGGCTTTTCTAATATCTGATGTTATAAACAGCTGCAGATTACACAAACCGTTTCAGTCTGGATTTATAAACTCTGTTAGAAACAACTGGTGGTGTTTTGTCTATAGTTCAAACTGGCTGTTCTACACTCTGATCAGGAGTTATAAACAGTCCACTGCGTATAATCAGACAGTGAATTTAGAACCAACTAGTGGTGTGTATAAATGCTTTCTGTGGCTCGTAATGGCTTTTCCTAATCTGGAGTTATAAACAACATCCTACAGGTTTTTTCATCGGTAGCTTTATTCTGCATTTATAAACTCCAGTTGGAGTGGTAAAACAGTCAACTTATAGAACGGTGACTGTGAACGCAGCTCGGTGTGCGGCTTGGTCTGGACTCAGAACTAAAGCTAAACAAACACAGGAACCGGTTTGGTGGGAAAAAGCATCAGAGAGGAGATGATGCAGCAACGTGATGCAAAGCAACAGGTTAGATGTCTGGAGATGTGCAGACATGTTCTAGTAAAGCATTTCTTTTCTTCACTCAGCACCATGGGGCTGATGGGTAATGTAGTTTGAGAGGCTCCCCTGGTGCTGCTGCAGGTCGAGCAGAGAGCCGGTTTTTCCGGTCCGATCCGATCCAGACTTTTCTGAAACTCATTTCCAATGCAAACTGCAGACGGAGCTGGGGGAGGGGGGGGGAGCGAAGATGAGGAGCAGCATCCTTTGAGATTTGAGGGCCTCCTCAGGAGGAGAAGATATGAAACGGCTCATTTAGTTTTAATGTTTGAACAGAGCTGAGGTGAAAACTGAGACCAGAGGAAGATTTTCCCTTAATATAAATTCCTCCTTTTCCTTCCATCTTGTGTAATCCTCCTCCTCCTCCTCCTCCCTCCTTTCTTTGTCTTAGCTTCTTCTCCTTTTTTCCCTTTTTCTGTCCTGTGGGTCTGTTTAACCCTTTCTTCCCTGGGACTCCTGCACTCTTCATTTTATTTTATTCTTTATTTTTTCCTTTCCTGCTGTTTTTTTTCTCCTCCTTGTTTCCTCTTTAAGTTTCTCCTTCATCAAACTCCTCTTCCCTTGCTTCCATCCCTCCTCCTCCTCCTCCTCCTCTCAGCAGCTGTCTGCTCTCTCCCTCTGCTCTGTATCTGTTTCTGCTGACTCTGCAGGCTGGCCCGTCTCTGATTGGACGCTTGTTGGGTCACGGGTTCGTCTGCTGCAGACCTCGCTCCCTCATTGGCCCACTGCTTCCCTGAGTTTTGATTGGTTAATGAGCCGCTTCCTGTCAGCTGCTCCCAGATCTGCTGACTGGCTGTCAGGACCTCTTATGGTCGTCCAGCGGCTGCCTGAGGCCTCTATTAATAGATGACACCTTGAAGCAGCACCTCCTGATGTCACCTTTTGACTCCTTATTCTCTTTGACCCAGATCTCCTTCCTCTTGTTTTCTATAAAATCATCCTCCTGCTTTACAACCTCCCTCCTCTTTGCGTCTCCTCCTGTCCTTTCTTTCTTCATCCATCTTATCTATTGTTTACACACTTTCCTCCTCAGCCTCCTTTTTATCATCTCCTCCTTGTTCTCTGTCTGTTTTTTTTTAATGTCATCTATTGCTCCATCTGTCCCCACCTCCTTACTCCCTTTGATGCCTCCTTACTCCCTTTGATGCCTCCTTACTCCCTTTGATGCCTCCTTACTCCCTTTGATGTCTCCTTACTCCCTCTGATGCCTCCTTACACCCTCTGATGTCTCCTCTTATGTCTCTTTACTCCTTCTGATACCTCCTCCCCTCCCTCTGATGCCTCCTTACTCCCTTTGATGTCTCCTTACTGCCTCTGATGCCTCCTTTCTGCCTCCGTTGCCTCCTTTTTTCCTCCGATGTCTCCTTTTTCCTTCTGTCGTCTCCTTTTTTCCCTCTGACGCCTCCTTATACCCTCTGATGTCTCCTTATACCCTCTGATGCCTCCTTATACCCTCTGATGCCTCCTTATACCCTCTGATGCCTCCTTATACCCTCTGATGCCTCCTTATACCCTC